GGCGGCAGGTTTTGGAGGCAGAGGCAGCCACTGCTAGTTGAATTGCTGGCATGGTAATACGCAATTTGACTATACGCGATTTTCGCCTTACACGCTGACTTTAGAACGTAACCCCTGCGTAAGATGCGACTGACCTGTACTCGTTTCATTTCAAATCCATCCTTCAAATGCACTTTTGTCAACTCTCAACCAAACCTTAATTGCTTTTATTTATCCAAAATTGTTTGGATCTAGACCTGAAGTTTGACTTGGGTCACATTCTGGGGTCAATTAGAAACTACGATTTTCTTTTAAGTGTTAAACTGAATTCTGGAGCCAGGCATATCACCTAAAAACAATGGATAACATATTTAACTGTGGTTCCCAAAGTTATATTCCTAACTCTATATTTAAGCACCTGAAAAATGGGTTGATTTTCACTGCTGATCAGTACCCACCACTGCCATTGATTTCCATGGGAGTTTTGCTTCAGAAAAACTCTTTTCAGTATAAAAAACTCGATTCTTAATTGAATGCTTAATGGGGTCATTACTTTGTCTTGAACTTAGTTTTAAACTAGTTGTTTTTAAACTAAAAGACATGTGAACACATAATTGTAAACAAACAATTCCAAGTGGGGAAAAAAATTATGTTTAGGTAAAAATATGGCTGCAATTGCCCATTTTTAGATATTCACATTAATAAGGTGAACTGAACTATTATGAAACTGAACAGCATGTGTTCAGAGCCATGAGGTATGGAATCAAAACTGGCAAATGTCCCTACAAACCCTGCCAACGCATCTCATCATTGGACTATCCCAGCTATTCTAGCCAGACTGTTCTATTCCAGTCATGCCAAAGAATACAGTGATGGGGTAATACTCATGAAACCATTTTACTGATTTAAATATGTCACCTAATAAGTCTCTGATTACTTCATTTTAGTCTTCCTATAAGAACATTTAAATGCATACCTGCTAATAGTAGCCTTTTCTGAATCTCCTGTTTCAGTGTAGCTGTCTTCGATGCTTTCTCCACTATTGCTTTCATCATCAAGTTCGATGTTGACTTTCTGCAGTTCCATGCGATCCATTTGAGCTGTCAGCACTTTCCAGCACACACTCAAGCTTCTTCAGGGTAAACAGTACTGCACCTTCTGCTTAAAGGTTCCCTCCAGAATGTGTTGACTTTCAGAACACTCTGTTCTGCAAACAAAACACAAAAGGACTCATTAGTGTTTTCCTCAAATTAGACAAATGAGTGTGAATGACTAGTTTGTGTTTGTTCTTTGTAATAACATTAAGAGAGGAAACTGCTGCAGACTGAGAAAATTCTGGATAAATACAAGCACAATGCTCCTTTATATTGCCACTTTCCTCTCTGCTTGTCTCAAAATGGTAGGAAATCAGCAACCAATGATATATAAAAAGCTTCCAGCCTCCTTTAGGTTAATAAGATAGGGATGTGTGTATGTGTAATATGGTCAAATAATTAGCATAGAAGGTTATTCTGTATAATTATTAAAAGGCCCCCCTTTATCTAAGATTAAATACAACAGTATTGCATTTTTCTAAGCATCACAGTGGATGTTGCAATGAAGTGGCTTTTCTGAAGAATAATTTTTGAAACATTTATTGCTACTTAATTATTGCTACACATCGAGAAAGTAACAGGAAATGTATTTTACCCCTGCCCATCTGACTTTAAAATGCGTTTATCAAAACTTCTAGAAAGGTACATTTTTTTTTTTTTTTTTTTTTAACATATCTACGCAGTTTAACATCAAACTATTGATATAGTGGACTCTCATCACAGGGGGTCTTTAACTTTTTAAGCCATCTAAATAATCATCTAAAAATGGACCAACATAAAGTATAGAATTAAGAGAGATCTTACGTATTTTTATGAGGATTTGCCTTTACTGATTTATCTGCATCTACATTTTCTTAGATAATCCTAAATTACAGAATAACTTTTATAGCTGTTTCTTATCCCCATGTTTAATAATAAAACACTAGTACTATGCATTCATAGGGCACTTTTTACTTGCTCAGAGAGATTTTTCTAGGGTATTCCCATTTCACAGATAAGGAAACAAAATGAAGAAATTACTGGGCCAGGTATCCAGGTTGACTGGGCCAGAGTCATAAAGCTTGCTACCAACACCTGAGTATAGAGCTGCATACTTTAGACTTTTTACATTGTACCTCCCAGTACAGCACAGTAACTGGGTCTAGTACATAGGTCCTGAGTTGAACTATTTACTAGAAAAGTAAATATTGTATTCTTAACACTCCAGTTAAATGCACATAAATGCTGCATAATAAAAATAGTATTTAAAAATGCAATGCAACAAATAGTTTCTATTTTTTCTTCATTCTAGCTCCAACACTGTAATTATTCATTACAAACTCTCCAGGTTTTGCATTCCAGAACGTTTAGCTGATTACTGAAACTTTATTACTCTATGTTGCCATAAACATGCCATGCCCAAACTAATGTAGAGTCTCCAATTTATTTATAGCAGCACAACATAACAGTTCACGTACAGACCATGCAAATGTAAACTTTAAACACCAGCATGGGAAGCTAGAACTCACCTTCTGTCAAAAACTACAGTAAATGACTTGATGTTTTCCTGGAAATAATAGTCTTGATATAACAACTAAAAGCTAAGGAATATCATGCTGTTTTATACGATTTCCTACCTGAGTTAGCTGCTGTTTATTCCTTTCTGCCACTTCTCCAGCACTGAAACTGAGACTGATTAATGAATCTGGCATTAGGTCAGAGAGAGTCAGGCAGGCTTGAATTCCAAGGGCCAGATTCTGTCTTCTCACTGAAGAAATTAAAGAACTGGGTCCTTTCTGACACAAGGGCATATTCATTCATAGCAGTATCTCTAAAACCAGATATCTTCCCCTCTGGGAACCAGATTGACACAGGTTCCAAATGTTCATTTTTAATCTGTAGCTAAAAATTAGATGAATCAGACTAAGTGATCTAAAACTTCCCACCAAAACCTCTATGATAAGGAATCATAGAATCATAGAAAATTAGCATTGGAAGGGACCTCAGGAGGTCTAGTCCAACCCCCTGCTCAAAGCAAGATCATCCCTAAGAAAATCTCCATTGTGCACAATAAAAATGCTTGTTTCAAAAATCTTCTTCCAACAAGTATCATTTCAATACATGCATTTTCTTAGCTGAAGGGTGAGGAAACAGTGTAGCAAAAATGTTGCCATGAATTAATTTACTGATGGATTAAGCTGAGAGAAATTCTGTGTGGTACTGGACAGCCTGTGCTATATATGGAAAAGAAGGAAGAAAGTGACAGAAATATGTCTTAGGACATAAGTACCAACACAAAATCTGAGCCAGCCTGTGTGCATGTAGTCTGAATGGATTATAATTGTGTCCATGAATGTTTGCAGGATTAGGCCTTTGGTGTAGAACAGTGATTCTCAACCAAGGTACCATGGCATGCTGGGGTACCTGAAGACCCTTCCAAGGGTGCTACAGGGTGCCATGCAATGTTAGCACTGATAAGTGTGCAAACACAATTCAGAAGATAAACCCTGAGATTTCAAAAT